CACTGCCTCCTACGAACATTCACTTTACATGGTAAATGAATGCTTCTAGTGTGGAATCATCCCATCATGTTCTCATTTTTTTTTTTTTAATACTTCGTGGCTGGGGACTCTGTCCCATTTGTGGCCATGTCCCTAGCTGCAAGCAGAAACTGGAAAATAAGAAGAGGTCGATAAGGGACTGACCTGAATTGAAGCATGAAATTAGCAGACAGGAAGCCTTGATAAATCAGCCACCTCCTCTAGCACATCAGAAAGGCAGAAAAGACAATCTCCCTGCTAGATGACAGGACATGGCCTGCTAACACGGTGCCTGGACTCAAATGCAATTCCCTCTGGGAAAATTAAGTTCACACTCGGATAGTGAGGTGAATGGGGAGAGAGAACAAGCGAGAGAGATTGCTCAGGTGCGAGGTGTGGCCAAGCGGACAGAAGCCTGGCACAGAAGCGCCATCTCCTGGCCATCTAGTGGCTAGGACCCAAGGAGCAAGCAGCCCAGGAAGAGGACACTGGACACCTGGTCTCTTCCTCTCTCCCTCACCAAGGGTCCAGCTGGGACACTTCTGAGACCAGAGCTAGGCCATCCCCACCAGCCTTCCCCCCTGTAGGGAAGCCAGACGCTCCCCCCTCCACTTTTACCCTGCTTCTCAGCATCCCAGGCCAGCCAGCCAGCCGCCACCCACTGCCACAGCCCACCCTGCTAACCCTGCTCCCAAAACCACTCCCACCTCTCGCTGGCTCCCTAAAGCCCCGGCACTTGTTAAAATTTGCTTCTTATTTTCCAGAAGTAGACAACATACTAGGCTGAGGAGATGGCTCAGCTGTTAAAGTGTTTGCCTTCTTCCAAGCACAAGGACCTGAGTTAGATCGCCAGCAACCATGTTGAAAAGCCAGCACAGTGGTACATGCTTGTAACGCCACTGCTGAGGAGATGGAATTGGAAACAGGGGATCTGACTGGGACCAGGCAGCCTAACTGAATCAGTGGGTTCCAGGCCAGTGAGAGACACTGACTCAAAAAACCAGCAGAAGGCACCTGAGCCACTGCATAAGGTTGACCTCTGGCTTCCATACGCACATGCATACAAGTGTATGAGAACCTATACACGCATGCATAACCACTCATACACATGCACCCACTCTCACGTGAACATAGCATGCACACACTCATGAACCAACACCCACACAAGCAAACATACAACATATGCACATACATATGAACATACACATACACACACAGATACATGCCCAAATTCAAATGAACTAACACCTACGTAAGCAAACACACAATGCATACATATACATGCACCTACACCAACATGAACACACATGCATACACAAAGACAAACAAAATTATACAACACACACATGAACATACATATGGACACACAACACTTACACATATAAACACATACTAACATGAATACACAAATATAGAGGTTCACTCACAAGCCCACACCCACCTACATAAACAAACATACACACACACACCAACATGAACACACATACAAACACACCTTCACTTATGCACCCACACCCGTATGAACACGTGTGCATACACACAGACATGTACCGACACACATACATGCAGGCACTCACATGTATAATAAGCATACACAATCACATACACACAAGGTGATCTGTTCCAAACTACCAAGAGTGGTGAGGTGAAAGGTCATGCTTGTAGCCAAGAAGGCAGAGATGGGAAGAGACAGGGAAACGCAGATGATGAGGGCTGAGGCTAAGGCAGCAGAGGCTGTGCAAGGCTTTAGGGGTCCCAGCAATGGGGCAGGGTTGACATGGTCAGATGGGATGGGGTGAGCCTGGATGTCAGGATGATGGGACCAGCCAGGCAGTGTCTCCTCTGTCTCTGTGGGTCTAAACCAGCATTTTGTCAAGTGCTTAGGAAATCCTGATGCTGAGGTTTCCCTCAGTGGGTGCAGTGGGGCTAAGGGGGGAAATTCAGCCTGTCCGTCTCCAGTGGGAGACTCCATGGGGTCAGATCCTGGCCCTGCTATTGACTCGGCACCAATCTTGAAGGCATTTCTCAGAGCATCGGTCTCCTCGTGTTCAGGCTGGGCATATCTACATGCTGAGTTGGGTGAGAACTGGAGAATCTGGACACACACAGGTGACACACAGGTGAGCATTCATCTACCTCCTCACTTAGCCCAAACTAATGCCCAGAAAGGGAGTCTTGCTCCATCCTGGCTGTTATTCCTGTTGCTTAGACAGGAATGGCCGTGACACTATTGAGAGGCCTCAGGCCCTCAGGTGGCAACAGGTCTCTGGTAGGGACTTGCTCCTTCCTGTGCTTGAGGACTTCTGTCAGCAGGGTCTAATGAAGTCTAGGGGCTCCCCTTACAGCCCTGGCACTAGGAGGAGCCTTTGGGTGCTCTTGGCTTCTAGCTTGCCCAGAACAAGGAGGTGGGGTAAAAGCAAGCAGGCTGCAGGCCCAGCCCCATTCCAGGCTCTGTGGAGGGTATGCTGTGGCCCAGCCTGTAGACTTAGCTTCCTAAATCTAAGGACTCCCAAGCTGCAGGCTAGCTTCCAGATCCAAGGCCTCCGTGCGGCCTTTACCTCCTCACTGCTCCCAGCCCACTCAGACACCTGTCAAATGGGAAAGTCTCCGGAGTAAGCCTCCACTCACCAGTTTTCTTTCCAACCATTAATGAAGCCTCTGGGAGCTGGAGGCCTAAAGTCACTTGCAGCAGAACCCAGGGAAACAGCACAATACAAGCCCAAAGCACAGAAGTGCTCACAACCACCCTCCTCACAACCACCCTCCTCCAGGAGCCGAGACAGCTGAGAACTGTCCGTCAGATTGTGATGTATAACCTGCAGAATCAAGCTGGGGGGTCCACCTTCCCCGTGGCTTCCCACAGGGCTGGGCCACTGAAGAGCCAGGCCCTCCAAGGTGTTCCCACCACTGCCACTACAGGCACTGAAGTGGCCTCATCCTCAGAGGTAGACACGGAGGGTCAAGGGACAAACGGTCCCCTGACCCAGCGTCTCAGAGTCAGTCAGTGCGGGAGGCAGGGCCAGATGTCATGTGTGATGGTCGACTCTCATTTTCAACTTGACAGGATTTAGTCACTTAGGAGATACACCTCTGGACAGGTCTGTGAGGGTGACGTTTCCAGGTTTACATGGGGATGGAAGACCCACCCTGAAGGTGGGTGGCACCGTCCATAGGCTGGGGCCTGGACCGAATAAGGAGAATCCGAGCTGGGCAACAGCACTCATCTCCATCTGCCTTCGGCCAGTGGGTGCAATGTGACCAGCCCCCTCACCACTGCTGTTCCACGTCCCCCCCATGACTGTCCCCTCACACTGTGAGCCAAAGTCAGTCCTTCTTCCTTAAAAAGCTTTTGTCACAGAGACAAGAAAATTACCAATATAGCCAGCATCCCCCAGGCTTGCCCTGAGGGGTGCCCATCTAGCATCTGCAGCCAGCCATTGGTGTTGGAGGTCCCTCTGTACCACATGGGCTAAGATCCTCCAGCTCTGCTGAGGAAGCAGCTAGGCCTGAGGCCTTATTTAGGAACTCCCACTTCAGTCTTACACCTCGCTCGGCTCCCTGGCCACGGCCCTTCCTACGAACCCTGGTTCAGGAAACCCCAGCTCCAGTTGTTGCTCTGCTCAGACTTTCTCTATGTCCCAGCAGAAGTGCCTTCCCTTTTCTGGGCCTTTGGAACGTGTGACCAGAGGCCACACAATGGACGGAATCCACACAGCAATCTTTGCCCTGACTCCCACAGGCCATCAGTAAATGCCGAGTGATAGGTGTCCTGGCCACTCTGGAGCAAAACAGGAGGGCTCTGTGAATCCAGGGGTCTGTGGTTTCCAGAAAAGAACAGAGCTGTGAAACTCAGGTCACCTGCACGGAGAACCTAGCTTCCCAAGCAGAGGGATTTGGTGTTGAGAACCAGTGGTGATTATATCCACAATACCATTTTGCACCATCTAGGAGCAGAGCAGCTAAGTCCTTTCTGGCAGGTCTGTGCAGTGAGACCAGGCCTTCCTAAATGTGGGCTGTGCTAATCTTCAAAACAAAGGTCCAAGGCAAGGGCTGCCAGTGATGGTGGCTCCTTCTGTTTCCAAATAAGTCATTGGGGCTGGTGGGATCGAGGGGGCAGGGGGCTGCACCTGGTGCCCAGCACACTCCGCAGGCCCGGAGCCCAGACTGCTGTTTCCCCAGCTCCCTCCTCCAGATGTATCACTCCACCCCCTCCAGGCTTCTAACAAACGCAGGTCACTGTCCTATAACCTCAGGGGTCTCCAGGGCAGAAGGCTCTTCCTTTCTGTGGGGCTATCACACAGCCTCCAGGTCAAGGCTGATGATTGTCCTCCTGGCTCCCTCCCTCTCTCCCAAAAACAAGGCTCCGTCACGGGCACCCCAGCCCTGTCCCTGCCCAGGTCCTCTAAAATATTTCTCTCTCCATGGCTGCCACCAGAGGAGAGGCTCTGGAACTTGTCTTGACCTCCATAGAGGTCCCTCGGGAGATCCATTCAGCCTTCATTGGACACTCCTTCACCTTTCCCAGGACCAGCTGTCCCTTCCTGAGGTTGACCCTAGCCAACACTGACCTTATGGGTCCAAGGCAACTTAATTTAAAGTCGTTCAATTTAAAGTGAACTCAAAGTAGGAGCCTGAGCCTGTGCTCAGGTTGGGAACCCACCTCTATTCTCTCTCTTTGTAGGAAAGACAGTCACCTACCTCAGTTTTTCCCTCCACAATAAGGATTTTTGCACTAGGAGTTGCCCAAGGCCTATGGGGCATTTTACCTGAATTCTGGCAAGAGTTGGTACTTTAATGGGTTATTTCCGTGCTGGAGAACCTTTAAGTCCTGGAGACTCGGAGAGGTTATCTCCTCAAAGATTATGGACCAGGGAATTAGGATATCAAACCATGCCCCAGGAGGACCCCAGAACTTTGAAAGTACTGAGATAGCGGAACTAGGGCCTACCCTTGCCCTCCTCTTTCCTCTCCACCCATACTACCTTCCTTGGGCGCATTGACGTCCCAGACGCTCCACATCTGCACGAAGAAGAAAGGCGTCCAGCACACGATGAAGGCCAATACGATGATAAAGGTCATCTTCACTGTGCGGATCTTCGCCTTGGAGATGAGCTTGACGCTACTGACCCGAGCCAGCGCCGCCCGCCCAGCTCCACCGGCTGCAGATCCTTCAGTCCCCTGGGCCTCCGCCGCAGCCGCTGCCGTCTTGAGTCGCAAGTTCTGCCAGATCTTGAAGCTGATGAGGCCATAGCAGGCGGCCAGCACGATGACAGGCACAATGTAGACGGCGAGCGTGATCCACGTGACGTAAGCCTTGGGTCCCCAGGGCTGGATGAACTCAGCCCAGCAGTCAAAGACGCCGTCCGCCACTTCGCGCAGCGAGAAAATGTGCACCTGCGGCGCGCTGGCCACCAGGCAGCCAAGCCACGTCGCCAGCACTGCCAGGCGGTCGGTTCGGCGGCGCAGCGAGCGCAGCGGCTGGCAGATGGCCAGGCAGCGGTCGAGCGACATGAGCAGCAGCAGGTAGGTGGAGGCGAACATGCCCACCACCTGCAAGTATTTGACCAGACGACACAGCAGGTCGGGCCCATAGAAGCGGAAGGTGATGTCCCACAGCAGCTGCGGGAGCACCTGGAACACAGCCACCACCAGGTCGGCGATGCTCAGGTGCTTCATGAAAAAGAAGAGGCGCGAGTGCTTGTGGCGCGTGGTGCGCAGCGCCAGCAGCACGCACGCGTTGCCGCTCAGCGCCAGGAACAGAATGAGGCACAGCACCGCCACCTCCACGCGCGCCAGGGCCTCGTTGCGCCGCGGCGGCCCGGCCGTGAGGTTCCCCTCCACCCCAGGCGGCACTCCACTCCCGAGGTCCAACTCGATGCTCCAGTTGGCTGCGGGCATGCCCTCCATGACCGTGACCGCGACCGCGACGGAGCGCCCGGCCTTGCTGCTCTTTAAAGCGTGGCGCGCGGGGCGGGGCCCGATGCGCTGTCCAGGTGTCTACCGGAGCACCCCGGCACTGATCTGCCTCTTCCCGCCCTGAAACAAACCAGGAGGGCAGTGAGAAGACCTTTGTGCTTCTCTTAGGACGCGAGTGGGACGTCCTTGTCCCCTTCCTGGGAACCTGAAGTTACCTGAGTCTCAGGACACAAGCCCAGCCACTGGGCTGCTCAGCCACCACTGCAGAAATCCCGGGTTGCCGTACCTCTTTGGAACCTCTGCAGATGCACTTGAGCGTGGGTCCCAGGAAAGGGTCAGCTGCTCGGTCTGCGGAGAGAGGAGCCTTGCGATTAACCGCTTTCCCTATAACAGGGACCCCCTTCCCCAGCATCCCCTTCCAAAGAAGCCCCAAACCGACACCTCTCCCCTCAGGACATAGCACAGCCACCTTCTAATGGACACCCAAGGCAGCCCCCATCTTGGTAAGCTTTACTTCAAGTACGTCTTCCTGGGGTTCCCCAAAAAACTCAGCTCCTGCACATCCTTCTTCGCCTCCTTCTGTTCCAAGACACTCAGCCTCGGCTCCCGGAACTCCCCGAATCCTCTCGCTCCAGGAGGGACTCCTGCCTGAGAGCCTAGCGCCCCCCACCTCCCCCGCGGACGACACAAGGCTGCTATAAGAGAGACTCCTGGGGTAGACACCTCTCACAGGAATCCCCCAGCCCAGCAGCCTCAAAGCTGCTTCAAGGGCTCGGCGTTGTCGTCCGAGCTGTCACTTTTCAGTCCCTCGGAGCATCCTGAGCGCCTCCGGGGAACCAGAAGCAGGAGAGGCGCCAGAGGCTTGCCTCAGAAGCTGATGGTCCCATTGGTCCTAACCATCCTGTCCCCACGGTGCGCAGGACCCAGCCACCTGAAGCGAGCCTGCGGGTTAGCCCAAAGTTGCCTCGCCACCGGGGAAGTTGCACCGCAGCGGATGGCCTCAGAGATGCGCGGGCTCTCCCCAGCAGGATGGGAGAGCTGCCGGCACCACGCTCCTGCCACCACGAGTAGATCCCGGCGTCTCTGCAATCCTCTAGCCTGCGGCTTGGCTGGTGGCTGGATGCGGACCGAAGGCAAGCGGAGAGCAGTGGCCAGGTTGTGCGCGGACCGCGTCAGCACGCGGCGCTGTCTGAAGGTGGCCGGCTTTCCGGCGGCGGGAGTCCAGAGCTGCAGCACCACACAGGTCCGCTAGGGGGCAGATCAAGCCGGCCGCGGCGATCCCAGAGAGCCAGGTCAGCTCATGCTGTGTTAGTGCCTCAGATTTATCTCATAGTGGCTTAAGACTCGCAAATATCCCACCTAGTTTCTTCCATTCCAGGTTTAGCTCTGGACGCTCTCAGAGATGTAGGAGCCTTAGAGAGCAACATTTTTTCCCAGAGTAAATTTTAATGAAGTCGGGGTTGGGGCTTTAGTTCAATGGTAGAATGCTTGCCTAGCAAGTGCAAGGCCCTGGGTTCGGTCCTCAGCTCCGAGGTTAAAAAATAATAATAATTTAAAAAAAAATTAATGAAGTCACTTTTCTGCTCCTTCCTCCCTCCCTCCCTCCCTCCAAAAATAATAATAAAAAAAATTAATGAAGTCACTTTTCTGCTCCTTCCTTCCTTCCTCCCTCCCTCCCTCCCTTCCTCCTTCCTTTCTCTTTACATTTTTAAAGAGAGCTCTTGTAAGCCCTTGCTCTGAAATGGCTTTGTTCACATTCCCTTTAAAAAGGAATTGCAAATTCCTGTTCCTTCCCGCAGCCCTGAGAGAAATCTTCATTCTTTAGGTAGTTTGTGATGGAAGTCTCACACACCCGCCCCATCCCCGCCCCCAAGTCTGTCACCATTTATGATTACTCTGCTTCTCAATGGGCCAAAGGCCACTTCTGCCTCCTTACCATGCTTCAAAATTAAAATCCTAACTGGCGCCACGGGAAGATTAAATGTGAAGGATTCTCCACCACTTCCTTGTCCTTTTCTGCTTTAAAACCATTTTTTTAAACTGATTTACAGTGACCAAGGACTGAGCAGGAACAGAAAGGGCCAGCATTAAAAAATGAACAGGGCTCTTTAACATGAATTAAATGTGTATTTCCTCCTGACATTTCATTTCTCCCTCTTCTAATTATGTGGAGAGAATTAAGTGAGCCAAGGGCAGTGTTTCCTGAATCCACAATTACAGTACTGTACCAAGATTTCCTCGGGGCCGAGTCTTCCAAGGCTGCTCCCAGGTTCTACACCAGAGCATGCCAAGGTGGCTTGAGGATTCCCTAAGCATCGGCTAATGACAGGAGGCAAAGACTCTTCTTCTTGCTTTGGGACTGTATTTGGTACAGTATCACCACTGGCATTTGTCACATAACTAAGGTTACAGAATACCCAGGTGATAAGTGGCCTGAGTCCCCAGTTTTCTGATGTGTAAAATAATGAGGGGGCTGGTCCCATCACTCTGGTTTTCTGTGTATACGTGGCGGGTGTGTGTGTGTGTGTGTGTGTGTGTGTGTGTGTGTGTGTTTGAATTCATGCTCACACGTGCATGGGCAGGGGTGGGGGTGCAGACCACAACCTCAAGTGTTAATGCTCATCTTCCACCTTGTTTGATGTTTGCTGCTACATAGGCCAGGCCAGCTGGCCTGGACAGGTCTGGAGGTCAAGCGGTCTGTCACCAGAGAACTGGGATGACAGACATTTTAACACGCCTGGCTCTTACATGGGTTCTGGGGATGTGAACTCAGATCCTCACACTTGTGCTGCAAGTGTTTTACCCACTAAGCCATCTCCTCAGCCCCTCTTCTTTCCTAAAATGCAATAGGAGGGTGGTGTCATCCCAGCACATCAAATAACCCTGCTCCACCCCGTGGCTGGATGAGGAAGGATTTGCCGGACAAGCCCCTGTCTAGGAGACTTGGGAAGGAAAGTGATGGGCTTGCAGAAGCCAGCCTGCTCTTGGCCTGGAGGAGAGTGGCCTTCGGGGGCAAGTCAGCCAGCCACTTCCCCAGCCGGCTCTTCTCCCCCACATGCCCTCTCCTGTCAGTTTTGTGCAGCAAATGGTTCCATCTCATTGTGGATTTGCTAAGAAGGACCACTTGGTCCATGCAAAAGCTAAGTTCTCTAACTTGGCCTTCATCTGAACAAAAGCATCAGTGGGATGCTCGCAGCCTCCTTGTTTAGATTCTCAGTATGTGTGGGAACCAGGCAGAAAAGGGAGGCTCTGCTTGCCTGGTGACCCCTCTGAAGGTCCCTGAAGAGTGAGGCATGCACCGGCATCCTTGAACCTTAGCCAGAGATAAAAACACTTGTATATTTTCAGTATAGTGAGAATGAATTCTAACAGAAAGGGACAAAGTACTGGGAGCCCGAAAGAGCTCTCAGGAGGCAGTTTGACAAAGGAGGTCATTCTCCTGGGATAGAAGAAGACAGACAGGCACCCTTCCCTGAAATGCCACTGGGGTGGGGGTGGACATGGATAATCCATGTGGATGGGCTGAAGCCTGGCCCACCTCCATCACTGAAGGGTCTCAACGGCCTCTTGAAGAATGGATTTATTTAGTAACCATGTTCCCCTAGCCTGGGAAGAAACATTTTCTGCGATGGTGCTCAGTTTGTAAATTTAGCCTTGATTGACACTGAAAGTGAGAGAAAATGTGGTTCTTTCTCCTTTCTGCCTTACTCCCTTTGATTTGCCAAGGACAAACTCTGATAGAATTAGAGCCAGCAGCTCCAGGACCAAAGCTAGTCGGTGTGCAGCGATTATATGGTAAAAGCCCAAAGGTGATAGTGCAAGGGCAGTGGAGGGATACAGGGGTGGGGCCATGTAGAAGGATGACAGCCCCAGAGAAGACTGGAGAGACTGGCATTGACACTCCGGTGGCCCCAGACAGATGCTACAGTGTTGAGATCAACCCACGTGAGTCTGTTTAATGGGTAACTGGGATGTATTAAGATATAAATTGGGGAAATACACTCATGAATACAGAACCAAGTAAAGAGCTGAAGTCACCCTCTGTTCTGCCTGGGAGTGGATGCACCTGGCCCTCTGGTGTCCCATCATGCCAAGAAGAGCAGCGGGACCCCTCCCTCTTTCCTTTTAAGAGGTCACGTGCCCAGGCAAGAGGTCAAGAAGTCACATACATAGGCAAGAAGCACCGCCTCTTCTGGGCTAGATGGCCCAAGGTCATAGGTGGAACAAATACCCCTACACTTCCCCTTTTTGTCTAAATAAGAAGGTTCTAAACTTAACACAAACTATTTACAATAAGAACGATTATCAAGTATTGTTCAGGAGAAATGAAGGGCAATGACATAAACAAAAAGGGAACTATAACCAGCAACAACAAGTAAGAAACATACTAAATGTCTAGACCATAGGTAAATGGCAATTACAGATTACCCAAAAGCTGTCCTATCCTGAAGAATCTGAATCGAGTACCTAATATGCTCTTAGCTAAGACACGAGAGAATGTTTGTTTGTTTGTTTGGTTGGTTGGTTTGGTTTGGTTTGGTTTGGTTCGATTTGGTTTTTGCAGACAGGGTTTCTCTGTGTAGCTTTGAGCCTTCCCTGGAACTCACTCTGTAGACCAAGCTGGCCTCAAACTCAGAGATCCACCTGCTTCTGCCTCCCGAGAGCTGGAGTTAAAGGCATGTGCCACCACCGCCACGAGAGAATTGTAACTGTAACTATCTAGTCTTCAATCCCGTCAAAGACCTGAGAAGGAACATAATATTACCTGAGTAAACAGGAAGTGCAAGCAAGCAGCTTCCAGAAATGCAAGAAATGACAGAGACTGCTGGCTGCCTGGACAGTCACCCAGTGTGTCTCTGCAATGCTGGGGCATCCACTATGGCTAAAGCCTGGAATATCTGACAGACCAATTTCAGAAGCTGCAATTTTGAAAGACTTGCTTACCTTGTCTTGGCAAGGTTCAGAAGGTGCTTTTCCTTGTGTCCTGCTTATCCAGAAAGGACAATGTGCTTACTGTCAGCAGCCGAGGCAAGGGCAGTTCTTTGCCCAGCAAGCTATTTATTGCCAAGAAGAAGATAAACTCCATACCGAGTGTTGTCGATGCCCTACATCCTCTTGGGAATAGATCAGTGCTGTCAGGAGCAATTGTTTCTCATGTCAACAAAATTCTAAGGTTATTAAAAAACTTAAATAAATATTCTCTAGGTCTATGAAGTGTTTGAAGATTACCTATCCATCTGACATATATTTCTGTTTGTCTAGAAAACCTAACTAACATGCCTATAAATATGACAAGCATGGGTAACTACTAACCTATAATTCTTATCAACCTGTATAAGACTAAGGTT